TTTATAAAAATCTACTGCCCTCATCTGCTCACAATGCCTAAAAGTTCTTTAACCAGAATTGAACTTTTTTGATGTTCGGTCTAAAAGTAAAATCAAGAAAGAAATTTGCACAAAAATAATCTGCAAACAAACAGACACACAAGTTATTAATACCAAAAACAAATGTATGCCGTAACAAATTATAGAACTGAAATTAATAAGTTTATCAGTTTTTTATAGCAAACAGCTTACCTTTCCATTTTGTTATTAAATACTTTCCAATTTTGTCTGAATGTCTAATTTAACATCTTCAGTTTTTAATCTCCAATTCAGTCTTTGGTCTTTAACCTCGCTATTACAAGTTTACAAGATTTGGAGAAGTAATAGAATGCCAAAAAAAGACAGATTAATTAATAAGTTTAAAACAAGTTTTTATTACTAAATTGTAGTTTTTTTTAACCAATGAAATGTTCAATGTTTTTTGTGTTTTTTATTTTTATATTATTTTTACAAAACTGTGTTGAATTTAAATGATATAGGATAACTAAAACAATATTTGTCTTTAGGATTTTTTTAAAACTTCTTTTGATTGGCTTTTGGTTGTATTGACAGACTTAAAATGCAATAAAAATTTAACTGATTTGAATTGATGCAAACCTTGACTCATCAATAAAATAGAATAACTTTTGGTTATTATGCAAACAGCATACAAAAGTGTAGGAGAAAAGAGGGGGGGGGGCGGATGCAAATTTTAAAATACATATGCACTAACCCTGTGGGCACCGGATCAAAAAAAGACGTCTTTTGAACGTTTAAAAGACGTCTAAAACGTTTGAAAGACGTTCAAAAGACGTTTAAAACGTGTATAAGACGTTTAAAAGACGTCTTTTTTACGTCCGTGCCCACTGGAAATTTTAAAATTCTCTTAGTTAATGTTTGTTTGTCTAAATTATAACATTTAAAAAATATTTATTAATAGGTAAATGTTTTTTTAATAAATAACAATTTTCTTTTTATAATTAAACATAACATCAAAAAATTTATATACAATTATATACAAAATTCCCCATTTTCAAAAATTTGCAAGCTAAAACAGAAAAAATCAATTTATGTCTCATAGTTTGCTGACAAAAATGTTAATTTTCACAAATTAAAAAAAAAATAAAAATCAATACCTATTAAGCATCTGCTTCTCAAAACGGTACAAGACAAAACGAGACAAAACGATAAAAAAATATTATTTTGATAAAACCGGTACGAAAACGAAACAATTTTTATACAGTTTTGCAAAAAACGGTTCAAAACGAAACATAATTTTTTTGTTTCGTGAAAAATACGGTACAAATCGAAACAAAAATTTCTTATTCTGTAAAAACCATTACAAATCGAAATAAGGTTAAACTAAATAAGGTACGAAATAACCGGTACGACACGAAATAAAGTTAAACTTTAAAGTTAAACTTTCGTTTACGAAACAATAAGTTAGTAAGTATTAACGTAAGTTGTAACTCGCAATTATACTCCTTGAATGCTAAAGATCATGTATTGCTCGGGGGTGTGAGAATAGTAAGCTATCTGTTATATCTGGAGTGGAGGAATTGTAAAAATTTCCGTAAAAACCAATACGAAACAAAATTTCTTGTTATATATATATATATATATATATATATATATATATATATATATATATATATATATATATATATATATATATATATATATATATATATATATATATATATATATATATATATATATATATATATATATATATATATATATATATATATATATATATATATATATATATATATATATATATATATAACAAATTGCTTTTTTTTTAATAAAAAGCAATTTGTTTTATAAAAAGAACAAAAACTGGAAAAATCAAATAACACATTTTTTTAGCAGTATTTTTATTCTAGTGCAAGGAAAAATTTTTAAATAAAAATAAAAAATAAATTCTAGTTTTAACAGCTTAGTAAAAATAAAAAAAATATATTTTGGTAAACGTGTCAAGATTAGGATCAGCTAATATCATTGTAACAAAATGTTTAGACATTTTATAATAAAGCAATACCGACATCATAATTTCAATCCTTTAGGATGACATTAGTAACTTTGGATGCCTCAAAGCCATACTTTGAGGCATCCAAAGCTACTAATGTCATCCTAAAGGATTGAAATTATGAAATAATAATACTGCATTTTTAGCTTTGATTGATTTCAAAATTAAAGGAGCAAAGCATAAGGCAACGAAAAAGTTAGCCTCATAAAAGTTGCCTCGGAAAATGGAGTCTTGTGATTATCACTCAAGAAGATTATAGCTAGAGTAGTAATGCCCAGAAGACTCAGACAATGCCTAGAAGTCTCTTTTGCACAAAAACCAGGGGGAGGAGGGTTAATAAAAGGGTGAGAATATATATTTTTTTAATCTATACTTATCTTGGTCAGTTCGAGAAAACTTCTGCAATATAAGTATTTTTTATAAAGAATTTTAATTTGTAGATATGAACTAATATTTCAACAAAACACCCATAAAACTATTCAATTCTATCGTGGCTTGCGGTTAAATGTGCATTTTCTAACAGCTGTTTTATCATATTTTTAATAGTATTTATTATGCGGATATAAGTTTTATACTTTGGTTAGGAATAAATCATACGCTTTTGACAAATTGAGGTTCACTAGGTCCACAATTTTTGAAGTCTGTTTACATTGAAAGTTTTTGTTTTTATTGGTGATTTTCTAGTTTTTAATGCCAGTTTTCACTGAATTTTTTTTAGGTTTGAGATATAAGTTTTTTTTTGACTACAAGTAAAAATTAAATCCGTTGTATAAAGGACTCGAGAGTAAAACAAAAATCGAGAACAAATATTCACGATTTTAATTACTGCACTTGTTAATAATAATAATAAAAAAAACATTTCAGTTATTCATTTAAATACATGAAATTATTTTTATTTGAAATCAATAAAAAATAATAGAATCTATTTCATAAAATTCTAAAACTCTGTTTTTTTTTGCCGTCACACATTATACTTTTTTATTATTTGTTATTGTTACTTTTTTTATTTTTTTTTAATTGCATAATAATTATATTATATATATCATTATATTACATAAACATTTTATATTAAAAATAAAACATAATAATTAAAAATATAATAATAAATAATGAGGGTTTGTCTATAACCCTTTTTTAAGTACCCTCCACCTCCCTAAAAGTATATACACTTTTACCTACTTACCCAATATTTTTAGATATTTTTTTAAGTTTAGTGTCTTAACTTTTAAAATTGATCACCTGAACACCCTTCCCCCGCCTTCTCATATACGCCATTTGCAGATCCTCTTCCCCATCCGAGCGTACGTACTTTATGGACAATCCCTAATTAGTATTTCATTAAGTTACATAAAGTCTTGAAATTTTTATTTTTAGTACTTTAACTTCTAGGTAAATATAGCAGGTAATATTAACTGAAAAGTAATTTTATTTGTAAAGCATTATCATAACTTCTTTATGCTCTTTACAAAAATTTCACACACAAATTTTTTGTTTTATGAAATATTACTTCTATTTTCTAAACTTCATTTATTTTCTTTATATTTTTCATGTAATGTTGCTAATTGTTCTAGATTGGTAAAAGTAATTTTTCATTTAAAATGATTTTTATTAAAAAATACTAAAAATGATATTTCTTAAAAAGTATTAATTTTATAATTATATGTATTACTATATCCTACTAATAATTTTTGTAAAACTAATATTAATTTATAAAATTTATAAATTCATTATAAAAAATGAAATTTTTTAATAATAGGTGGGAGTAGTATATTTTAAACTATAATAATGCATTGTATATGTAGATATTATACACTTTTATTTTACATTATATAATGTATACAGTCTATACTATATTATAGTATGGACTTCTTTTAATACATTATATTATACATTCAACAATGCATTTTAATTTTGATATAAATATATATTATAGAGTTAACTTTAGAGATCAAAAGTTAATTATTTTAAAACTTTAGAAAGGAAAACAAAAAAAAACCATACAGGTACAAAAAGATAACAGATACTCCAGCATCTAATAAATCGGTACTAGCTGTGAAACCCGGGGACGTGGTGACCCCAAAGGCTAGAAATATTTTTTTTTTAAATCTAAATGACTGGCTTTTGGAACTTTTTAATCTAAATATGGGCCTTTTGGCAATTTTACTTTTATCGAAATTCTGAAAAAAGTTCATTAATAAATTTATATTTACTATAGGGCACAAATGCGAACGTTTTGAAAGCCCTATGTTTTTGCAAAACTATTAGTCGTGAAGCAATAATACTTGCTCAGTATGTTTATGTTATAAAAATGATTCATTGCCTGCATGAATTTTCAGTTTGCAAATATAACAATTTGAAATAAATATTAAAATAAAAAGTTCATAAATTTGTCATCTAGTCACGTGACCGGGGCAAGATGACTTGTTTATGCAATTTTTGACTCTAATTTTATAAAATTTAAAAACTACCAATAACCTCTAACTAAAGTAACACAAAATAAACACAAATCGCAAAAAAGTACTTCTGAAGAAGTTAAACTTAAAAAACATCATCCATAATAAGAAACGGAAACTGAGGAATTTTTTTTGAAACGCAAAAAGTAAACTCATGTGAATAAAATTGCGTTAATAATATTTAAAAAAACCAATTGGTGTTTTAAAATACAAGATGCAAATACAGTTTAGTTTTCATCCAATTTTAAAATTTTTTGTTGAGTTGTTATATGAAAACCCATCTTGCCCCATTCGCCATGTTGCCCCTTTTTTCTTTTAATTATGTTTGCACAAATGTAATTTAGATTTAAAGTGTTCAAATTTGAGCGCATTTATATTAGTATTTTGCATAATAACGTTAACAAAAATTGCTCTTAAAACAAAGTAGATATTTTGAAGACTGTCTATCCTCAGCCAGGTTGAAAAAGGATAAAGATGTTTTATGAAACGAAAACATGTTTTATGCAAACTTTCTATTATCAACTGTGTACATAAAAAAAATAAACTATCCGAGTAGGAGACGGCGTTGTTCATGGCTTCCGCATAGTATGTACTTAATAATGTATATGTCCGCATTGTAGAAACTTAATAATGTGTCTTGCGTATTTTTTTGGGTCAACTTGTTTCTTAATTTGTTTTTTACATTAATTTTTCTTTCTTCTTTTCTCATCCGAATTTCTGTTTTTTTCAAATTTTTCTGGAAAAAAAAAATTGCAAAATACTAAATGACACACTAATACAAAAACAAATTACACACTAATACACAAACAAATGACACACTAATACACAAACAAATCACACACTAATACAAAAACAAATGATACACTAATACACAAACAAATCACACACTAATACACAAACAAATCACACACTAATACACAAACAAATTGAACAACTAGGATTTTAATTTTATAAAATTTATATTAAATTTACAATTATGAACGAACATAAAAATGAAACCAAATACCTTATCAGTCCTTTGTTTGAATCTTTATAGAAATGTAATTATAAAAAAGATCTTATCAGTAAACCAGTAAATTTAGTACTCAGATTGTTTAACTTTCCAAGTCAATTTTTCCAAATATTTATACATGTCAAATACAATTAAAATAACCATAAACTTTCACCCCACTATCAATTAAAATAAGTTATTAAATTACGTACTTTTTTAATATATAACTCTTACAAGTTTCAAAATATATACAACATTAATAACCTTTTAAAAACAGCATAAAAAACTATTTGTTTTTAAATTAAAATAAGTTCGTTAAATAATTGCGAGAACCGCAAATATTTAACGAACTTATTTTAATTTAAGTGTGTGAGAACCAAAAATATAGGATCTATAATTCTAATCGGAATATATAGATCAATCAGAAATTGATGCGTTATGGATTTTTAAACAGTTTAGCTTTAAAGCTTAATAGAAACCAGGCTTTTTTAAAGTTATTTTTGAAAAGTAATTTAATCAAAACCGAGTATGAAAAAGGTGACGAATATTAGCGTTTTTAAGTGTAATATTTTCAACTTCAATACCGAATGAAAGAACTTTCTGTTTTTTTTCAGACCTATGTTTTTATAGAATTCTTAATCAGCATAAAATTCTCTATCATAATCAGTAATAAAAATAAAGGGGTAGAGATATAAATTAGCGCTAATTATTTTAACATAAGTCAAATATAACAAAAGAGCTGGTAAATTGTTTTAAATAGTATAAGTCATATTAACATAATTTACGTGTTTATTTATATCGGGCTTTTCCGATCCTATATGATTACATTCTACAATTTTAAATTCAATTTTGTTTTTGGCACGATCCAAAGTTAAAAAGCATTCATCACCATAATTAGTAAAAATTTTTCTTTTAATTGAAGATTATAAATAAGAGAATTTTTATCTCTTCTGTAGTGTTTAATCATTTGTGTCTTTAAGTGGCGAGAATTTTCGCTAATATAACAAGATTTAGATGCTGTCTCAAGAACAAAAGAATTCTCTCTTGTTAAACTGCCATATATTGCAAATATATGTCAGTTTAACAAATATAACAAATTCTCTCTTGTTAAACTGTCAAGTATCTGGGCTAACTAAACGAAGATTATATGCAATTATCAAGAGACATTGTAAGTCAGTTACCGTAAGATTGGTATACACTTCGTTAAAAGTTTTTAAATTTTTTCACAACCTTCCTGTAGTTTTTAAATCATTCGTCGTTTACAAATTTGATTGTGCAAGATGTAAATCCTGTTATATTGGCAAAACATCTCGCCATTTAAAGACACAAATGATTGAACACTACAGAAGGGATAAAAACTCTTTTATATAGAGAACTTCATTCAAAACAAAAATGTTTTACTAATTTTAGTGATGGATGCTTTTCGACTTTAGATCGTGCCAATAACAATAATTTATTGTTTTTTTTGTTATATTTGATATTTGTTAAAATATTTTTTAATAACTCTTTTTGTATATATAGGAAGTTTATTATCAATTTTATGATTTTTATTATGTTTATTTTTACAATTATATATTTTATATCGTTTTTAACAAATATATTTTAACTAATGATAGCTATATATAGTCTTAAAATAATAAAATGTTTTTAAATAAAATTAAAGAAGTTGACTTATTTTTAAAAGTGTATTAAAAAGTAAAACCGTCAGATGCCGAAGAAACGCCCCTTACCAATTTATCAACTATGAATTTTTTTAAATCAAAAATTGAATTCATATTTTCAAAAAATTCTCACTTTGCCTTATTTATTATGACCTCTCTTCCTGTTTACTTTGCACACTAGAGTTTTATGACTGAGTCAAATTTTTTTTAATTATATATGTTAATGATTCTTAGAACCTGAATGTTACTACTCTCTGAACAAATAGTACAGTCATTTCGATTTATTAAGTATATACTAAATTCAGAAAATATGCTGATCCTCCACCTCCACAGTATAAAGGTTGAAAGATTATCTGTCAGGAAGGTATTTGTTTAAAGCACATGAACCACGTCAAGGTTCCTTCCTATTCATGTGTACGATTTTTTATGCAGAACAATTGAAGGCATATGAGAGAAAAATACATCACCAATTAGCAAACTGCTTTTTCCTGCAGGTTTTATTCTTGGATTACATATAAAATATAATATATTATGACAATATGCAGTAATGGACTTTTTGAAGACTTTTTCAAGACTTTTTGGGGCCCAGGGCTGTTTTAAAGCAGGAAGCCTCTTTCCATGATTAATCAAAAAATTTATTTTTAGAGTTTCTTTTAAAAATTAAAATACTCTTCTATGAACCAAAGCCTCCAAAACTGTGGGGTCCTGGGCTATAGCACTAGCAATGTAACTTTATAAGGAAATATGCAAATGTTTTTAAAACTTTTAAAAATATATACCTACTGAGCACAATCCACATTTTTAGATAAATGACAGATTTAGATAATGCGATTTTTAAAATCTTATTAAAAGAAATAATTTACTTACCACTACTAATTATAACATTAAATTTTTTTTTGTGTATATATTTTTTTAGAGTATATATGTATATATTGTGTCATTAAATTTATATATATATATATATATTATATATATATATATATATATATATATATATATATATATATATATATATATCTATATATCTATATATCTATATATATATATATATATATATATATATATATATATATATATATATATATATATATATATATATATATATATATATACATATATATATATATATATATATATATATATATATATATATATATATATATATATATATATATGTATATATATATATATATATATATATACATATATATATATATATATATATATATATATATATATATATATATATATATACATATACATATATATATATATATATATATACATATATATATATATATATATATATACATATATATATATATATATATATATATATATATATATATACATATATATATATATATATATATATATATATATATATATATATATATATATATATATATATATATATATATATATATATATATATATATATATATATATATATATATATATATATATATATATATATATATATATATATAAACCACTACAATTTAACTCATTAATTTACCAATTGGTTTACCATTAAGGTCCATACTGGAGAAAAAAAAAGAAAAAAAATTGCAACTAATTTTATGAATACTTTTAAGAAAACAATATTTGAAATAAAAATTATTACATTTTGATTTCTGATTTATTGAAATCCATATCTTTTTATAAGCTTATATAGAGGAAAGGCGCCTATGATGGCATAGCTCCTATGATGGCATACCGGTCATATTTTCATAAATATTGGTTATGGCGAAAAAGTGATTAGATATGTCTATACTGGCTTTACATAAGTTTTAGTAAAAATACGTCCCTTATGCACAAATATTGCTTTTATAATCAGCAATAATTGATTTTGGGATGTGCTGTTATATTTTTAATCCCTTTAAATATTTAAAATTGTGATTTTATTAATAACTGTGCAAAAATGAAATTTTTTTGTATTTTATTTCCAAGTTTTGTGCATTTAGTGGAATACTTACTTTAATTTTATCTTTTGAACAATGCATAGCTTGTTGAAATGAAAATAATGACTTCTTCCTATTTCCAGCATCTTTTATTTTTCCAGCATCTATTATTTTTTCTCATTATCTTTTCAAAGAATAATAAAATATACTGAAATGTATGCACATTTTTGTATGTTAACAAATAACAACCTTATTTTACTTAGTTTTTCGTGCATAAAGAATACATAAAGAAAATTTAAACTTAAAATAAAATTTACTCGAATCAGTTTGACTGTCTAAATAATTTTATTTTTATTAATTCTTCTAATAGAAATAAACAAAGTGAGTTAAAATAACTTAAAAGTACTAAAGCTCTTTTCCATTGTTTAAAGTAAAAACAAATCTTGCTTAACTAGTTGCCTATTTTTTAAGAACTAAAGTAAACAACCACGAACAAACAAATATTGATTTATTAAAACAACTATATAAACAAATTAAATTAAACAAATTAAATTAAACAAAAACAGTATAATAAACAATAAAATTTGCTCAAATTGCTGTCAGTATGCCTAAAAAAATGATATTTTTAATGTAAAAAAGTTTATATTAATAATTTTAAGCAAATCAAAAAAAAATCTGTAAGTTATTAATGAATTGAACTAAATAAAAAAGGCTTCAGCTCCTAAATGTTCTAAAAAATAAAATAAAACTTACTTAAATGGTTCTAAAAAAAGCTTAAAAAAAAACTGAATGGAAAAGAAACACGAAAAGAAACAGTGTACTAAAAAAGAAACAGTGTACTAAAAAAAAAACAGTGTACTAAAAAAGAATCAGTGTACTAAAAAAGAAACACTGTACGAAAAAAGAAACAGTGTACTAAAAAAGAAACAGTGTACTAAAAAAGAAATTAAAAAAACTTTACAAAAACTACAGTCATTATAGTATTAACTACTTCTAAAAAAAGAAAACAAACGAATTAAAAAATAACTAACAATAAGCGAAAAAAAAAAAAAAAACTAACAATAAAGTTTTTTCATTAAAAATGCTAATTAAACAAATTTATTTAAGCAAAGAAGTTAATTCTCCTTGAAAGTTAAAAAAGAATTATCAGCTCTGATTTGCTTGTAGGACTTTCTTAAAAGACCACGTGAACTTCAAAATTATGTATAGAAAAGCTTAAAAATCGAAAGTACTTAAAAATGAGGAAAGACGATGGTAATTAGTAAGGTTAACTGGAGTATTAATATTTAGATAATATTTGCTGTAACAGTATTATATATTAATGCAGAGCATGCAAGGATGCTATAACAGCCATTATTGATTTAAATTGTTAAATTTTTAAACAGTTTAAGGACCTTAATTTAACAACATTGTGTGGCAAAGAAATTCAGTCTTTAATTTTGTTGTTAAAGAAATTTTCTGAAGAGATGTTAAAATACTTTTTTTTCAAACATAGGTGTAGCAATATTAAAGATTGTGTTTTCTCTTAAAACTCGTTTTCTCACAGAAATAATTAGCACTAAATTTCCAGGTCAATGACATGAAATGCAGATGTGATTTGTGTTAGTTGACAGATGTCTTTCGTAAGTTCAGTGATTGGGTACTTAAGGAGAATTTGTCGCCTTTTTGAATTAGTATTACTTTTTACTTTCTCTTCTCACCTTCTTTTGTTTTTAATTGTTTATGTGACACAAAGATCGCAAAAGTGACCAACAGAGCCGTCCAGTTATGTAGACCTGGGAGATGTGATAATAGAATCAAATTGTAGATGATGCTCTTTGGGTAAAAACCATAAGTAAATGCAAAAAATATTTAGTAGGAGGTATAAAATTTCACAACTCAGGAAGAGGGAAAACCATTCATCTTTGGCTGATAAGACAATGGTCTATAAGTAAACAAGTCTATATAAATTCACTGATTTATTAATGGCTATCATGACTAAAAATAATGCACAATACAAAAACAACAAAATAAAGTAGATAATAAAATTGTAAGTAAAATGATAATAAATGATAGTTTGGTCAATATAAAAAGAAAAAATTAGGCTGATAAATATGGTACTATTATGATCTAAACTCTAGATAATAAACTGAAAACTGATAACCACACGTGTAACATA